GATTCACATTGTTATCATGTTGATATTACTCAAAGTTGACTTTCGAACTCTCGAAAATTGAAGGTGTTGAAAATATTACTTTGCATAGTAACGGTTTGGTTGTTCACACTGAAGAGTGATAGAGAGCATGGAAAGAGATTATGCACTACAATTTCTCACGAGCAGTATCGATAATCGTTCAGAGGAGAATGATAAGCCTTGGTTGCTTTGGTACACAGCTGATGGAAGAATTACAACGCCCAGTGGAATTTCAGGAAAAACACCAGTAAGGCGAGCTGTGCATAGCTGAGGGGAAATTGTCGTATTAGATCGCGAACGCTACTTTTCTTCCATATTGGGAGAGAATCGGCTGGGGAGTGCTGCATGGAGGCTTTGATACTCCTAACACCGCTGAGGATCGCCATCACAAGATGTCAGTTCACATCGCATCTCTGTTGTAACCATTTTCGGCGGAAATTCGCATTTTCAAAATTGCGAGTGCACTTTCCTTGCTGCTAAGGTTTTGTGAGGTGTCTAACATGCCATTCGGAAAGGTCAGTAGGCATTGAACTTAGCACGCGATAAAGACGTCTTGAAATCCACATGTGGGAATCATCTCATCTGGAGCACGGTGGAGCAAAGTGTGCCACAGTGTACACCAGTGGCTGTGTTCAGGTATGCTATGGGCTATCTAGAGGGTCTGGCTACGGCTGAATATCTATGGCTCTTCTATCATATCAATACAGAGAAAACTATAGGCTCTATTGGGAGGAGGACCTCTAGTGGGGAGTGGATAAAGGAATCGTAAGTGAATTGCGACTTGAAGGGTTATAGGCTATAAAAGGATGAAGTCGCTACTTCTACTATATCATAATTTAATTTATCAATATATGGTGGAGTTTCACCTGTGATATAAAGAACGCTAGTGGACCGATTTCACAATTCACATGGAGTATTACGCGACTCTCTACGTGAAACGGGTGAAACTCCAGTGGATTGATACCAGCTCGAATAGACTCGTTGTGACTGGCGGTCGTAGGTTTGTATATGAACGTAGTAATAACATGAAGTAGATGTGCTCTAACGTCGCACTATAGAGGAAACTGCGAGTGTTGGAAAGTACGCACATGGTCAGCAATGTGTGTTGGTGACAATATGGAAAATCTGAAGAAGTTTTGGGGAAATTCTTATTG